CTGCCTGACCTGACTGGACTTGATGCAGAAACACCTTAGGTGCAAGGGGTCTGTCTCTGGTGGAAGGGGTCACTCTGTGCCCTGGGCAGGGAGGTGAGGAGTGGTCCCCAGCAGCTGTCCTGCCCTCCCTGGGTTCCCTGTAGCACCGCCCAGGTGCAGTTTTCACCTGCTGGGGAAGGGGAGGATGTATTCTATGGCTGCCCTTTTCGTTTAGTCCCCCCACCTGCCCTTACCAATTCCTGGTCATCCCAGAAAATTCTGGATCAAGTCAGCACCAGATGTCAAGGCCTCCACCACCCTTTCCCCAGGCCCAGCCTCATTACGCCTTGGAGGACCCTCACCCAGACACTAGGCCCCTTCAGCTAGTTGGGACCCTGAATGGGATCTCTCCAGGCCTCTGCACCTGGTGGAGAAGATTTCCGAGTAAAGATTTGGGAGGGGCGTTCCCTGGGCCTGGGCCTGGCTTCTGCCCTCTCCTCAGGCACAGAGATCCCTGGGCTTGGACTCCTGCCCCAGCTTGGGGAGCGGAGGGGGGGCACTCAGGAGCTTCCACAGGGAAGCAAAAAATGATGATAATCTAGGGACCCCCCGTCCCTACTCCGAGCTCCCTGGCCCTCAGTTTCCAGTGGAAGCCTGAAGGAACTGCAGCCACTCTGGTTCCAAGTGACAGGGCATGGGGACGGGGGGCGCCATAGTCTGCAGTGGCCAGATCACTCCTGTGGCATCTCTGGGCCTGAGGACCGCTGGGCGGCTGGTTTGTCAGCCCACTCCAGAGAGGAGAGCCAGGCGGAACCAGGAGGCCTGTGCAGGGTTTTGCAAAGCTGGCGAGGTAGAGATCCGCCTGGATCCAGCCCAGCGCCTCCCCTGGGGGTCTGGGGTGCATACCCTGAGCCTGTTTGGGGGCTGGGGACTCACCAGGGCAGAGCTTTTCCTGGTCAAGGCAACTCCTGGCCAGGGCTGGGGGCTCTGCTGTCTGTCCACCCCCGATGTGGGTATTTGCTCTGCCCAGGGCCCCCTGCCTATTGGGGGCACAGAGCAGGCGATGATGAAGAGAGAGCTGTGCCCAGTGTCCCCGTGCAAGCTCTGCTGGGCTGCAGTGGGGCTGTGGGAGAAAGCCTTTATTCCCATGGGAAGCAAAGAACTGTCCCCAGAGACCGGGAGGGACTGCCCCACCCTTTATCCCACACCAGCCTCCACAGCTGCCCCTGCCAATGGCCAGCGGGGCTACCTTCTCTAGTCCCACTGAGGCCCAGTGCCAGCGCTGGCCTCTGTGTGGGCCTGAAGCCCACATGCCACCAGCCGCAGCCTGAAGGGAACATGGAAGGATTGGGGGCCCTTGCCTCTGGCGCCACAGAGACGATCCATCTCTGACCCTGGGTCCAAGTCCTGAGAGCCTCTGGTGAGAGTCCCTTTGACAGCCCCCTGCCCAGAAATATAAGGGCTCGTGGCCTTTATAGGAGTATCTGAGCCTGTTGTCATCTCTGCTCCACTAAAGGGAGGGGAGGGGAGGAGGGGTTGAGAGTCAGCACCCGCCTTCCCCAGGCAGCTGAGTGTGGCCCTGGTGGCCTCCCTCCCACCAGAAAGGGCATGTGGGCATGACTGCAGAGATGAGGGCCTGGGACACACCACTCAGCGTGGACCACTTCCCACACTCAGAGACCATGTGGCCGGTCTGTCGGCCCACCCCAAAGAGAAGAGCCAGGCACTGTTCCAAGTTCACACGTGTACCAGAAGCTTTCCCTCCATCCACCTCTTTCCTGACCCCAGAGGCGAGGTGGAGGTGGGCTGGAAGAGGTGGCCCCTACTTCTGACTGGAGGGAGCCACCTTCCTGGGCAGTTCTGCTGGAAACCCGAGGCGGGAGCCGGGCTCTGCAGGCATGCCCAACTGCTGGGGTGGTGCCAGGCTGACATGAGGGAGGGAAGAGAGAGAAGACCCAACCCGCCTGCCAAAGCTGACCCCCAGGGTCCTCCCGTAGCGGCATGGCCAGGATGTGTCCCCCTGCCCCGCAGCCTTTCTAACTTCCAGGAGTAGTGACCCCCATTTCTTTCTGGGAACCTCCTTTCTCCGTCCCTACTCTGGGGGGTTTTGGGTGGGGCTCACCCACCCCTGTCCAGGGGCTTGGGGGGCAACCAGGCCTGGGCCAGTGAGACCAGTGCAAACGCACACGCACTCTCTCCCTTGCTCTCTCTCGAGTAAAATCTTTTAAAAATCCATTCACTTTTCCACTTATAGATTTTTTTTAAGACCCTCATATCATGAACATCAACAGCAGACAGTCGTCTCGTCCTGCCCAGAGGCACCAGACTGACCTCAAGGGTGTCCCCAGGGGGTGTCTGGGTGTTGCAGTTGGTTAAGCATCGACTCTTGGTTTTGGCTCAGGGTCCTAATCTCAGGGTGGTGGGATCAAGCCCCACCTTGGGCTCCTGGCTCTGTGCGGAGTTGGCCTGGGACTTGTTCCCTTCTCTGTCTGCCCCTCCTCGTGCTCACACACTCTCTCTCTCCGATAAATAAATTTTTTAAAAGACTATTTGAGGGCGCCTGGGTGGCTCAGTGGATTAAGCCTCTGCCTTCCACTCAGGCTATGATCTCAGGGTCCTGGGATCGAGCCCCGCATCGGGCTCTGCTCAGCGGGGAGCCTGCTTCCTTCCTTCTCTCTCTGCCTGCCTCTCTGCCTGCTTGTGATCTGTGTCAAATAAATTAAAAAAATCTTTTAAAAAAAGACTGTTTGAGAGAGAGAGTGAGAGAGCGAGGGCACAGGCAGGGGAGTGGGAGAGGGAGAAGCAGGCTCCCCGCTGAGCAGGGAGCCCCATGCGGGGCTGGATCCCAGGACCCCAGGACCATGACCTGAGCCAAAGGCAGACACTTAACTGACTGAGCCACCCATGTGCCCCTAAATACGTCTTTAAAACAAAGGCTGTCCCCAGAAGCCTCATGGCTTTCATCCTCTCTGCACCCCCAGTACTGCCTGTCCCTTTGCTGCCGGAGCCTGAGAGCTTCCCAGGCATGACCCAGAGCTTGGTGGGCCGCGGCCACCCACAGCACCCCTTTAGTTGCCTCTCCTATCTGGGGAGGGAGCCTCCCCGTGAACCCACCCAGGTCACATCCTGGCTGCCCTGGGCTGGTGTCCATCTGAGCTCCTGTGCAGAGTGGGGGGCCCAGCCCTCATGGTCCCCTGCCCACAGAAATGCTTCTGCCCATTGGGACAGCCAGACCAGCCTGAGGTGACAACTTCCAGGGGCCATCCCCCATCCCCAGGGGTGCTTGCAGACAAGGTTTTCATGCTGGCGAGGGCCTGGAGATTGCCAGGGGCCTCCCTGAGGCTGGCATCAGGCCTGCAGGATGGGGAGCATGGAGACATAGGGACATGGGCTGACAGCTGTTTAGGCTCTGGGAGGGCGGCGGCTGCCCATGTCCAGGGCCCCCACAGCCCATGGGGTCTCCCTGCCACAGCAGTTTGTGCGTGTGGCACACACCATCCCCAGGACTCTAAGGGCCACTGTCCCACTCCCTCTGTCCAGCTGCAGGAGCACCTTTCTCTCCTGGAGAAGCATGGCCTGAGAGGTAACCTCTGGTCGAGCCACAGAGCACCAGGCGGGACAGGGATCTCAGCAAGGCGAGGGGTGGGCCCAGCGTTGTGCCCCTCTCTCGGGGGGCAGGGCGGGACCTGACGTCAAGTCAGAGGGGACCTTGG